CCATATACATTATCAATTATATATTGGGTTAGTATTGTTTAACGTCCTATCAACAGCTATGGTCATTCAAGGACGGCCTCCGATCCCCTGTGTGCAAGATGCATGCATGCTCGTAGTGTTTGTGTGTGTGTTTTGAGGCTGCGATATGTTCGTGTTTGTCTCCTTGTGACAGTGCGGACCTGATGCCGACTTTATAGTGCTACCGCACTGAAACATACTGCCGAAGACACCCAGCAGGACACCCCACCCGGTCACATTATACCGACAACGGCCGAACCAGTCGTCCCAATCCTAAATTGCTGAGCGTTAAGCAGGAATAGAAACTACCATTTTACAGACTCTGGTATGTCTCGGCCAGGGGACAGAACCCAAAGCCTTCCTCACAGGGGCGAACGCTCAACTAAAGGCAAAAAGTGAGGCATTGTCGAAAGAGACATAAGGAAGAAGAAAGTTGTTTAGAAAGAAGAGAAAAGATAAGATCCCAAATTTTGTCGCCTCTTACGGTCATGCAATGGGGGCAGCATGTACAATTCTTACGCCCTATACCCGCAGGGACATCTCCAGCACACACACAGGGAGATAAGCGCCTGATAAGGCAGCTCCTGCAAATGCCTCAAAATTGTATTGATTCATGTTTATGCTAATTGTACTGGTTGGATAAATTGTATATCTATGCACTGTAAAGCGCTTTAGAGTGGCTTATTCTAGCTAGATAGGGCGCTATATCATTATTCTGTAAACTTGCCTTGTCTTATAGATATGCAAACGGGCGTTGAGTCACGTTCTAGCCTAGTGCCTGTGTTTTGTCCGAACTACTAGACAGTTGACTGGTCATTTTAACCACACTTACCCAACCTGATACACCTGAACATTTCTTACTTGTAATACATTATCAAAGACACAAAAAACGCAAACACCAAATTAGCAACTATAATATTTTTAAGGTTTGGCGATTATATGGCCATTGCTTCATACAGATGTGATCACCGACTCTAAATTAGAGTCATAGGGCAAACAAAACTGAGATACATCTGTAACTGCAGATCAACTTAATCAAACTTGTGCAAAATTCAAATCTTAGGACAATTTTAAATATGAAGGAGGAATTAAGTAAACACGGGAAACAGATGTACACCTCATTTTTCCCACTTTACCAATTTCTTATTCGACAATAATTGGTCCTATATTATTTCTAATAATTAGAAATATTTGAAATTCAAGTGAACACTTGGAACAGCTGTACACTTCAAATGAATTGCTATTAAATTGCAAATACAATTTGTAACTTCACAAACGTAGTTCAAGTGAAACTGTTCATTGATTGACAACTGGTCAATATGGTTAAAATTTGCACCGAACCGCCACAGCCATATAATCGCAATCCCAAACCTGAATAACAATTTTACATATCAATATTTTTGAAAGAATATTGCCAAGACCCTGCTGCAAATGGTACAATAACATTTCATTGCCTAACTCAGACAGATGGACCTTGTCCAAAAAAGATCAGGGCAATCCTCCCGTATCTCATGGTATTTAATGTAACTGCCTCCTAAGGCTGTGAAATGACTTGCCACGTTACTGTTGACCCTCACTCTGGCCATATCAACAGTCTTATGAACAATTTCGTTTCGCCTCTCCTACCAATGTTGGATTTGCGACCAAACCAATATTGTCTCGGGGATTTCAATAAAGAGTGACGGAGGTCACAATTCACATGTTGACAAAGATAATTCCCACCACAGTGAATTACCATAATCTGGGGAAAGTCCTCGACCGTCAACAGATGTCTAACGAAAGGCTCCAGTTCTCTCCAACGTAGGACACCTTTCCCCTGCCACCACACACAAGCATGGAAGTGGCTCAGTCCAAGGTGAATCCCATCCACTGACTTCTTTGCGTGGTAAAAGGCATCTTTACTAACGGGGATCCCACAAACCAAATACGATTTCTGACATATCAAAGTCTTGAACTGACAGTCATATGTAAGGCTGACAGGTTATCCTCTATAAATGCCATCGGTTCTACTATTATTTTGATTTAACTTAAACAAAATTTAAAAATACATTTATACACTTGCGATGGTATTTCCAAAAAAAATACATTTATGCAATGTTAAGTTAATGTTTTACCCAAGACTACTGCAAGGTAGTGTATGAGTCTTACAAGCCTCAGCACAATTCTATGGTTCGGACTCGAATGTACGACCTAAAAGCCTGCGATTCCCATACACCCAGTTGTTAGATTTCAGCATCAGACACACCAACTGCAGAGGTTTTAGGTGCAGCGCCTATTGTAAACGAGTGCGATATATATCGCTCTGTAGATACTCTAGCTGCGTTCAGATACTTTTTTAACAAGGCATTGAATTGATTTTTTGTGACAGGCAAATCACCAAAATGACTAAAAATGGATCCGGTTTATTTGGCCGGACAGCCAGGATTGTTTTTACCAACAAAACTGGGCATATTGGCGGAATGTCTACTGTTAATCATACTGTCACCCATTTACTTAACTGATCGTTGGAACTAGACAGTGATAATTGAACACTTGTTGTAGATAGCATGAAATTATTAATGGACAGTGTACATGTATGGGAGGTAACTCCCAGCTTGTCAACTACTAATTCCCCCATTCTGACACCCCCCCCCCCCCCAAAATAGAACAAAAAAACCCAGCAGAATACAATATTTGTTTATATTTTGAACAACAAACCACGTGAAGGGCCTGAAAAAGCTTCACCAACAAGTCAGGAGTAACAGGCATCCTAGCATCTACCCGTTTTGAAAACCTTTGCATTCCTGTTATCATTTTCCTCTTGGCCTGTAACAGTTTATTCGACAGAACGGACTTTGCTGTGCTTGAAGCATAACTGCCCGTAGACATATATGATACAAAGTTGATGGTATCACGCAACGGTGGAGGCCAGGACTTGGCGAGATGATACTACGCTTTAGTAATATTCTCAGAAATAGAGGCTGAAATCAATTTTGTAGTTTCAGCTTGGAGATCAACATTCGGAACGATACTAGGATTTCTGCTGGCTCTGAATCTACATTGTGCCATTGGTGCTAGTGCAAGTGAACGGACCAACCGCATGACCCTTGTTGATTTTGAACAACAAGGGTCTATTAAGAATACAATTTCTATTAAGAATAATAATTATTGTTACCAGGACCTGCTTTTCTATGCTTAAGACAGTTTTTGCTTTGTTCTGTAATAGTGATCCCCATATCATCAGTGACAGAAGGACGGGAACCAGTTCCATGAAGGTTAAGTCAGAGGTTAAGTCCCCCATGTCTTCAATCATACCCTGAGAGGCTTTGAGTACGTCATGAAAACGCCTATTGAACGCCCGGATGTAAGGGATGGCTGTGGCAAATAATATTCACGACACCTACAACTGACTAATGTTTTTTCAAGGTTGTTTTGTTTACAACAAGAAGCCCAATGAGTAAAACTGGAATTTTTCTAACTTCTCAACTGGAATTCGAAAGGTCATATCTAAAGTATTTAACTTATAGCCAAGAAAACTAAGATAAAGGAACGACCAACTGTTTTGTCCGCAGCAAGAAGGACACCAAATTCGTGAGCAGTACCTGCAAATGTCTGCATTAATGCGAGGCGATCACCACTACCACTAGTCACCCCAAAACAAGAAATCATCCCGGTAATGGACTATAGACTCTAGTTTGGACCGATATGTAAACATGTGGCAATTGTTTCAAACAAAGCACATGAATAAGAACAACACATGGGCAAATATTTATCCACAAAATATGACCCTTGCAACTGAAAACCTAAAAGCTCAAATCACCTTGGTTGACTGGTACCACCCTGAATGCAGAAGCACCCTTTCCTAGCTTACTGATCATATCAATGGCCTGAGCTTAAGCTTGATACTGTACAGCATGATTAGAACTGTCTACACAATCATTTATAAATGATAAATGATGAATCAATCTCCAACTTTCATCTCGTTTGGGTTCTAAACCTATAGGTGACAACCTGACATTAGCCAAGGGTCTAGATAGGTGGGGACCTGCAATACACCATCCACCGCTGACACGCTTGACCAATCAGACAGGCTCATTTTATCACGTGATAACTCCCGCGTGCAAATCGCTTCCGGGTCGGACAAACAAATGCAGACGACGCCATTTCCCATAGGCTACAGTGTTAATTTTGTGTTCGGTTTGAAGCGTTTTACACCGTAACACTTCACCATGCTCAAACACTGTGTACAGGGACTTTGCCATTCTGACTCCCGAAACCCCGAAAATCTGCAGAGATGTTTGAGATGGATCGCGCTTAGCAGACGTCCAAATATGTCTAACTACCAGACAGGAAACTTAACAGTTGACTGGTCATTTTAACCACACCTTCCCAGGTTGATACACCCGAACATTTCTTGCTTGTAATACATTATGTTATAGTCCAGTGGCATAGCATATATGTATTCTTGTATGCTCAAGAATACACTAAATTTTCAAGATTTTTTTAAAAATCAGATAATGTTGTTAATTTCATTTTTATTATAAAGATGAACCGTCTGTATCAATAAAATAGAAAAGAATGAAACAAAACCTCTTCTTGAAAATGTTAGTCTGATAAAATAGTGTGTTTTGTCTATACACTGTACATGACAAATATCGCAGGTTTATATAAATCAAGAACTACTTAGCGAAGTACAAAAATTAATTATATTCATATAGAAAGTCGTTTTTACTTGTTAATAATCAGACTAAAAGGATTTCCCAGAATACAAGAGATTGCTATCTAGGGCCTATTAGAATTCAATTTCTTTCCAGTTAAGGGAGAGGGAACTCCTCGTTCCATACCCTCCCCCTCCTCCTGCGTTACGCGCCTCGGACGCTTGACCCCCTCTGTAAGCATACACTTCGCAAAATGATTTGCTACGCCACTGTAGCCCTAGTGCCATGTAGTGTATTTATACGATTCAGTTGTTCAGCGTTTAATGATATGATAATTGATCCGAGTTCTTAGTTCTCATAAAGTTTTATACAACTCTCTGCAGTCCGGAATGCTCTGCTAACCGGTCAAATAATACGGTCCCAGTGCTGTCCAGTCCACTGAACCAACAATGATAACCATTTTTAATCTCGTCTTTATAACAGAAAACAGAATACAGAAGTACCCCCATCGTTACTTAAATATATTTAGTCACCGTCTATGAAAAGCACACATACGCGGTGTCGGTGAGCACAAAGGAATCCACACGCTGTCAAACGCCCTAGATCTCACGGCTGACGGGGAAGAATTTGTTACAGCTATACTTGGACCTTAACTGATGTGTAAAGAGTAATTTTACTGGGTTAAGGTTGTTAGATCAACTTTTGGTAAAATGCAACCCTTAATGACGTAATGATGGTGTATACGACCATTGCGATTTTTATCGAGAATTGATCTGAAACCCTAAAACGTGTAAAATTACTTTGAATAACTTGGTTTAAGCCCAACTATAGTTGTAACAAAGTATCAGGTCCATATGACAGAGACTGGTAATTTTAAATATCGTGTGTTAAACAAATACTTCAGCGCATACAAAGACGACACAATTCCGAACAAAGTGACCGGTTTTAAGCAATTTCAGCTCACTAAAACAATTTAAACATATCTACTATCTGTGATTCTTTATTTGATAACCATTGAAAGTTCTGTAGATAGAACTAAAAACATTAACTGTGTTATAAGTGGGTTATATAAGTGAACTCGATTGCCTTATTATTATTTTCGTAATTTTGTCTCGAAGCAATGTCTTTCTCTTCATGGCCGTTTTGACATTTAGCACTTTCCTGATTGCATACATTGTCCCAGAGCTTCTTGAAATAAGTCAAATTGATGAGCCGTTGGTTATCCTTACCAATGCTGCTATCCAAAAAACAGCCCGAGACAGGTATAGATTTAGAAGATAACACGAGGACACCACCGAGGAATCCTATGGTGTGCGACATCCAGGCACTAATTACCTTATTTTCTGGAATCAACCATGCATCCTGCAAAAACCAAATCCCTCTCCAATGAGCGACAGGCAAGCAGCTAGCCATGACTAGATACAGGTTCAAAAGTAATACCCTACACATGCTGTGTTTATTGTCTGGATTTTTGACAAATGGCAGAATGAGATGTTGACCAATGACAGTTGGATATGCCAAAGCGAGGCCCGCGACTAGAGAGTAGATCCCGGATTGAGCGTCGTCTTCCGGATATAAGTAGATATTCATCAATGACCATAGTCCACGCCAGAATACGACGACGAAGGTGTGGACAAGCAGAGGAGTCATCACCATGTCGACCATAAACCGAGGTGAATTGCCGACCTGCAATAAACAACAACGGTAATGTACATAAGAATTAAAACAAGTGACAATTTCAGTAAAATCAGTTATTTGATCAACTGAAAAAACACAGCAAAAGTTGAATGTAGATGACAAATGAACTTCTATGCAAATTTTAAAAGCAAAATATAAATATCTATTGTATACAGGACTTTTCGCTGAAGTTCGATTTCTGGCCCTTTTACGCCCACTGAAATGAGGGCAATTTTATCATTACAGCAAACATTAGCATACAACATAATTTACATATTAATTATTCCGTCTTTGCGTATTGCAGAGTTATCTTCTCTTGGGAGCAGGTATTGATTGTTACGTCATTGGTTTGTGTGAGAAAAATACATCGTTTTCTCAAAAATTGATGACGTTACTCTCACAAACCAATGACGTAACAATCAATACCTCCTCACAAGAGAAGATAACTCTGCAATATGCAAAGACGGAATATGCGAAAGGCGAATAAACACTGGGCTAATATGGATTTTACAGGCTACGGACGATATTGGACTGGGCGAAAATTTCTCGTTGAATATCTGCGTGGAATACTCTACACTGAGAACGGTATCGATGATGAATTCGGAGGCTGTAGGAAGTTGATTTGTTGTCAATCTTGATCGGCTGCGGACTTACTACATGTAAAACGTGTGTAGTTTCATTTCAATACTTGATAGCTTTCTTGTCAATTTTACGCATGGCAAAATTCATTCACGCACAATGATTTTATTTTTATGTGTTTACTCGCCGAGATAAGAATGAGAAACATGTTATAATATTTTAGCAAGAAATATTCTGCGAAACAATACCGAGAGGATGGGTGGTTTATTTGACAGCAGTTTGAGACAGAGAAACATGTAAAATTATATATCCGACAGTTAATTTGTGCCACATTGTCAAACAAGGATAGCATTCGACCTCGTTGTCGATTTAAAAAAAACCAAAGGGTCCTGAAGAGTCACCGAAACAAAAGGAAATACATAATGGCCACCATTTAACACAGAAAGGAAACAAAGGGTTCTGGAAGGGTTAAACTAAACATAGAAATATAATGAGTATGACCTGACTAACCTCTGACCCGAGTCTGCCTGTTACCCTAAACAGCGTCACGTGATCCGTATCATGCGCAACTAGCAATGGTGCTGACGTCATGATTGATTTGGTACATCGTAGACAGCATATTACGCCGGAGCCAATAATGGTTGATGTCAAGGCGCTCTGCCACGACGTTCCTGTGTAGTGATCCTGCAAGTTCCATATACCACGCCACTGTGCTACACTTCCGGTCGAAATGATATAAATATGAAGTCTCGAGAGAATGAAATGCACTACAATGTTTTTAAAAGTATTTATCCTTGATATATATGTCTGTAAGAGGCCTGTAAAAATCAGGACAAAATTCCCACAGGTGAAGCAAATCCAAGCACTGAGTTCCATGTTATCGGGATAAAGATATGCATCAAATATGCCCCAAGTTCCTCTCCAAAAAAACACAACACAGGTTGAAATGACAAGGAAACTCATAAGAAAATCCAAGACGGCAACACATGCATTTGAAGTAGGTTCCATTGTCGTTTTATATATTAGAGAACTTGGTAAAAAGAACGATTCAAATGGAAGGTGACGACTATTCAACAACTCTTAAGGCAAATATAAGAATCTTTATGTCGATAACACTATGAAATGTATTGTACTTTTACCATCGTATATTTTCATCCCTTTTACGTGATATCCATTCGTGTAAACAAGCCATGCAGAGATTATCTTTAGTACTGTTTTTTATCATTCTACATTCTTGTTTGTCGAGGTCACTCACACTTGTCATTTTGATGGAATCTCATCTGTGTCTATTCCGGCTTGGTTGGTGTACTCGTCTCTGTTCTTACGTCATCGTGGTCAGTTACTATTTAAAGAATAATCTACACTCTCCGGAATATACGTCCTGGCACAGATTAGTAAATGGCTATGTTGTAACGTCACTGTAGCCTTTCACTCTAGACAGTGGAAAGTGGGAATACTTTGCAGCTAACACGGTTACTGAGTGGTCATTTTGGTCATCCTGGGTTGAGGCGATGCTACGGGTGGTTCAATTGTGTCTGTGGTGTTACGTTAAACCCCAAAGTTCCCTTAAACGGACAGACTGACAATGTCCACTTACTTGACCAATACAGTATACGTATATACACATACACCCTGGACTGACCACCTATGTTTGGGTGGTACCACGACACGGGTGGTGTGTGTGTTTAACTGTTTGTTAACACTTGACCATGAATAAGATGGCCTTAAGTCAACTGTTTGTAAGCTTATCAAACACGTCACCGGTTAACGTAAAATGAACTTTTATATGTACAATATACACAGATTCCTTCTTTTCATTGTCATTGCTGGTAGGGTCGTCCTATCATCGATCTATACCAGCATACACTAATGCCGAATTTATTTTGAACATTGTTTATATTTCTGGTGTCGACATTTTGTTTCATACTAAAACGAACAGGTAACAACAGATCCATTACAGCCACATCGTCCTCGGTGTCGATCGTAGTAAGTAAAATCACAAGGTCCCTTCTATATTCCATCCATAAGCTATAGGTTTATCACCTTTCCGAAACGCGTCTGTGTGTGACGTTTACCTTCGGGTTTCCTTTGTCCTTACTCAAACGCCGCTGTGCTGTGATGCATATGTTCGAGTTTCTTTCGTCATAACCCAAACTTCTGTTAGCCGTTGTGTACACCTTCGTGTTTCATTTTTCTTTCCTCAAACACCTCTATGCTGTGGTGCATATGTTCGAGTTAAGTCCTACACAAACTCTCTTGTATTTATTTGTTCCTACTAAGACGTCTTTGTGTTGAGGTATACACTTCCGTTTTTCGTTTACCCGAGTTGTAAACATCGTCGGGTCACGACGTATGTTTCTGTTAATTTAAATCCTTACACATGCCACATACAGTTGTGGTGCCTACCGTTCGGATACCACTTTGTAGCTTACATTTCATTATTTGTAAACATTTTGTTTAACTCCGATCCTGTGGGCCTGTGAGAAGTAAAATGTATGTAAAGATTTTTTATGATAACCCAGCCAGACACAATACATATTATCCTTCTACGTTTACCACTGACATAAACACAAATGCACCGCGTGTGACATCTTGAACATACATACAATCAATACTATAATCCTCGCCTCGTGCTCGAGGCAAACCAACTGTACGGTTCGTTTATTCAGCACCTATTTAATAAACTTACAGTAAATGTTACGTGTTACAACACACATTTCTTTATGTCAACATTTTTGTTATAGTTCACATATGTATATTGTTTATGGTATTATACATAAAAATGTAAATTTATTTAAAATGCAATGATAAACATCAAGGCAAAACGATTTGTCGTGGAAAAAATCAACATTTTGCTGCATTTCATATGCCATAATTATTTTTCCTGTAAAATATTAGAAATGATATATTATGTAGCTCTACTATTGACCTTTTTATTAAATATGAAATGTTAATCATATATCTATAAGCAGTGTATGCTATCTCTGTGTACATAAAGGTATTCTAAACCAATGTCCTATAACGACTATACTGTAGCTATTGATACACACACTCGTCACATCTTACATCGTGTGTAACAGACGTAATGCTGTCTAAATACACTTGTACACCCATAAACTCATGTACTCGTCTTTCAAGTCTGTAATAACTTTGCAGATTAAAATGACTTTCTATTTTTTTCCAGATCGAAAATATTTGCAATAGCACTGACCCGAAACAGTATGACTCAGTGTGTAGGATTTAGTCGCTTTGAATTGAAACCTTTTTGCAAAAATCAACCGACCATATCGAATCAATTTTCATTCTGATTGAAGAAAAGAAAAAGAAATTACTTTCAGTCTTGATGAGATGATGTGCATAGCAATTCATTTATTTAAATTTACGTAAAGTGGGGATATTTGTCGTGAAAGTTATAATACGTCATTATAATATAATGTATCAGAGAAAGATTAATCCGCGGACTTCTCTTCCTGTAACTTTAAGGGGACTTCGTCTGCCTTTCGTGTTCGATAGTTTGTTATCTTGAATATTTTTGTTTTCTCTTGGAACTATTCTTTGTTTCATCGACGACACCCACCGGGTAAATGTAGGTTAAATCGACGACACCCACCGTGTAAATGTAGGTTAAATCGACGACACCCACCGTGTAAATATAGGTTAAATCGACGACACCCACCGTGTAAATGTAGCTTTTATTCCATTTCTTTTAGCGTTTACAGTGTAACATAAATTAAGCCATAATTGTTGAAAAATGATTTTGACTGAAGTTTTCCAGCTTATGTAATTCCATCTCCAGTTGAAGAAATACCTATGTCTATGAAATTTGAGGACCACATGAAAATATCGAATTATAGGCGACACGTAAAGAATTTGTGGCATGTGTTTTATATCTTACTGTCACTATATAGTCTCTTTGAAAGCTGTGCCGTTGATGGGACTTTAATCACCATGCATCACGAGACACAATTCTTAGCGTATTAATACAACACTGACCGGAACTACAATATCCAATATAAATAAACATGACGGCTGCTGAAATATTGCTGGGCATTGTGAGATTTGACAATGTCATTGTAAATTTATGTGCAAAATAAAAAATAAAATAAAAAACACTTTTATTACAACGAAAACAAGACCAAGGTCTGCAATATCGTATAAAATGCACATCGGTTGAAATCACCATTGCCCGCAATGGAAACAATTTTAACGCTCATGCAATTTATCAGAAATATCGTCTGTTACACTGCACTGATCAACAGGGGTTCGCTACAAATGTCTGAAATACACATATTCTATAGACCTACTGAAACATATGTTACAGGATATGAGTCACAACACACAAAAACATTTCAGACATTGTAACGAACCTGTGCTCCGTCGCAAGATCACTCACTTCAAACGCTATCAGTTTCACGCGTCTCGTATCCACGGTTCCTCAGTTTCTGACGACATGTCAAATAACGAGGATGTTATAGAATCTACCGACTGTTGTCAGGTTCCCAAACATTCAACAAATACATTCACGCCTGGATTCTCCACAAAATGAGCAAAGAAAAAAGTTCGAATTAACTTCCAAAAATAACTACCTTGTGGAGGGCAAGGTCGGATTTACGGTGTTCACTGTATTTGTTCATGAGCGAAATGTATTCCGGGGAAAAATCGAAACAATTTCAAATCTAACTTTCAGCTCAGAGTTCTATTGATAAACTTAAATCACCCTATGGACATATCATACGCAATTGTATTGATACTGAATAGTGGAATAAAATTGAAGTCTTCGTTAAAATTTCAAAGTACTACTTTGTTTGACAATCAGCACGCGACAATACGCTGTTAAAACTATTGAACGAAATTGTGTGGACGGTCGATAAGCCGGGCATTTTTAATTTTAAACATAAATTATAAGTTAAAAAATAACATAAGAGGCAGAGAAAACGTAAATAAAAGTATTGAACTGTTTTTGAATGGTATTTATGATTAGCGCGCATTATGATTTGTTTGCTTGCAAAGCTGTGTCATTCAAATAGATCATAAATACCATACAAAAGCAGTTCAATGCTTAAGAATTCTCACAGAAAGTAATTGTTTACAATTTTGAACCAGTATCTGATCGGGTGGGGGTCAGAAAATTGACACCAACAAGAAACCGTATAGCTATCCACACAACACTGTATGAGAGAACTGCAGTACATAGCTTTGTTGTAAAGACTTGGGTTTTCACTAATGTTTGAACTATTATCATTATTATTTCTGAATTCTATTTTCTGCAGTTCTTCAAATGACCTTTTCGCAAAATCAGAGTTAAAAATATAGCAATATGCTTTACATTTTACATTTTTTGACATTTCTATTTGGGTTAAACGTTTTATAAATCACGAAACATTTATGATTTACATAGCTGTAAATGATAGCGTAGACTGTGCTTCTTTAATCATTGTAGAAAGTGAATATTAAGAGTGACATACAGGGAGTCGGGTGTAGTCGGTTTGACAGCAGGTGAGTGAGGTCAGTATTCAAACCACACATAACGTGTAATCAATTTCTGTATGTACGAACGCACCCTACCATTAAATGTTATTCAATGAAGATAGTGTATACCATGATGAATCTAATTTTCCGTGGTATTTTATTAATGGTATTTTTATAACATTTCGTGTTTACAGAAGTGTGGGCAGGAAGCGGAGGATTTGTTTAATGGTTCTATTTACACTTGTACCACGTGTTATACACGTATGACTGGCGGGGACTCCTCTATCGATCTCCGGGGATCCCACCACGTGTTGTTCAAGGAACGGGGTACAGTAGTGTTATGATGGTATTTTTATTATTCATTGGATTTTGAAAGGTAGTTGTTGACAAGACGTTGAGGTTTGAAATATTTGGAATTATTTCTGATCAGAATGGAAATAAACCTGATGGCCATGTTAATGAATGACAGAGTGCGAGAAATGTGTGAGAATAGGGAGATGAACTTGAAAACATTATAGAAAAACTTTATCGGTCGAGAACAAAACTGAACTGAAAACTGATACAAAAGTCATAAAACAGAACGATAAGACAAAAGGAGAAACAACATGAACCTCCAAATAAAACAAAAATAATTTAAACTCAAAATCGATAAAACTAGGACAAAATACCAATAGAGGAAAAATTAACAGGGTCCCCCTGGAACAAAGTGCGAGGAGAATAAATACCATTGTGTTTTTGAAGGATAAGCCTATTTTGCTTCAACGACGACACCTGCGATGTAAACCTTGGTCAATATCATTAAGTGGTATAACTGTAGTGACAACGACACAATAAGGCACACACACGAACATCATAAAAATATCGACCTTTTTATCCCACAAGGAAAAAGAAGAATTTCCATCCAATGATATCAGGCGGTAACCATCAAAACAGTTGCCTATAGCCTTGTAAGTTTATCCGTCAGCATTCCGCATCTTTCACGGACATTTTGATAATTGGAATATGTCCATGACTATGAAATCTAATTAGTCATGTAAACAATGTAGATAGGGAAAGCAGGGATATTTTTTCCCTTTTAGTTCGCCGATCTTATCATCAGCTGTTGCTGTTGCCATGTGTAACCGATCTTTTCCCTCCGAATTACTTAAATTTCAATGCAAAAAAAAACAATTAATGCTACACACGCTTTGTATAAGACATGATCATTGTGTTCTTAGTCAGTAGTGACCTACATTTGGATACTCTTCAAGAATACCTGATGTCGCCTGCGTTTTGCTTTCTCTTTTGATTTTGACTTTTGTTTCGAGGTCCTTTGTTTGAAGTTGCAGTATAATCTTTCCCTGTATGTTAACGTTGCGGTATCTTTTGTTGTTTATTTAGTCTGTTGACATTTTGGTATATTTTGTCCTTGTGTGTTGACACTATGGTATATCATGTCCTTGTGTTTTGACACTGTGGTAAATATTGTCCCCGTGTGTTGACACTGTGGTATATTTTGTCCTTGTGTGTTAACACTGCGGTATATTTTGTCCCTGTGTGAGTTGACACTTTGGTATATCTTGTCCCTGTGTGTTGACACTGTGATATCTTTTGTTCTTGTGTGTTGACACTTTGGTATATCTTGTACCTGGGTATTAACACTGTGATATAGCTTGTCCCTGTGTGTTAACACTTTTGTATATCTTGTCCCAGTGTGTTGGTACTGTGGTATATTTAGTCCCTGGGTGTTAATACTATAGTGTTAATAATCAGCTGGTATCATATTGGCCCAGTTATTAGGCCGAGGTCTGTTATATCGACCAGAGGCCGAAGGCTGAGGGCCAATATCACAGATCAAGGCCTGATAACTGGGCCAATATGATATCAGCTGATTTATGACACTTTTTTCAATTAACAGTGAATATTTTGAGTACATAAATTTAAACAATAGTTCAAGTATAAAAAAGTAAAACAATTTTATTTTATACTTTTCCACATTATCTGCAGTCTTCTGAAAAGTCAAACATATTCCATCACGTCCATTGTTGTTGTTTGTGTTGACACGGAACGGTACGTCAAAAAGAACCAACAACCACGAGAAATTCCGAATGGTGTGCATG